TACACCTACGCGTGCCATCACAGCCCCCGTGTTCGACAGTCACTATGGGAGCACAATCTGAATAAGACCTGTCGTGCCGCGATCTCTAGCTCCCATGTTGGTCTAGCGCCTCTACCAAAAGGCCCCATTCAGGGGGCCGAAATCCAAATACACGGCGAAAGTAAGTCACAAGGAAGCCAAACCTAACTTCGTTCCAAGGGGTAAAGAGCACCTTAAGGGTAATAGAAAGTGTTGAATAAAATCTCGCTGCGCATTTTTCATCCATGCATTTCTTTCGGAATGTTGACTGATTGAAGGCAACCCTACAGACATTCATTAGAACCATCTAGCAGAAACGCGCACGAAAGTTACGGTCCACCTAAGGGCAATCATATTACTTTGCCCCGAATTATTAAACCAAAAAAGGAAGAGCGTGATCCATTGGAGACCTCCATTAAAATATTTCACGACTATGTTCAACGATAGTCGGTCTTGGTTGCGTGGTGAAAGAAGTTGTGGGCATCAGAATTGGAGCCAGCCAATGAATTAAGGCTCTTTAGAGGTCTAATTAATGAAGGGAAAGAATATGTGAGGCGATAAAGTGTTGGGTAATTTCAGTGTCCCATATGTATGGCCACCCCATTAGCATCAAATTAACTAGCACCGACTGGTACAGATACACTGAGATCAGATGGCGGCAGCGGAGGCGACGTGTGTGTATGCGTTAGAGTGTAACGTAATAATGTCACCTTAATTGTCATATGCGACTTTAGACATACATGTATGGACAACAGTAGTGCACTTCCTTCATCCCCAGTCTCAGAATTTTGTCCTAAGGAAACAGTGGTTATAGGGGTTTCATGGGTGGGGAATTAGGATAGGCAGTGGCATATACTTTAATAACTGCTATATACATTTTCCTGTTATTGTATTTAGAAATGTAAATGTATATCTGCACATTTTCCCAATCTGTATTGTCGTTTAACGTATTGCGGAAAAAAACTGGATTATCAAAATGCAAGTTTCTCGAAATTCCTTAAAAAATAAAAATGGTGGTTAGAAGGTCGCCCACTTCAACGTACCTGAGGTCCAACTTACCGTTCTAAAGTTAGATTAGTATAGTCTGCGGCGCACACCTTAAATTTAAATGTGGAAAAACTTATTCCCAGTGGCTGCAGGAAACAAATTCAACCGCATTTTCCCCCTTTACGCTTACTTCTATAAATTTTCTTCTCTGCCTATTCAATTTCTCCACCCCAAATCCCCTCAAACCACCGTTTCCGTAGGGCAAAGTGCTGGAAATAGGGGGTATATGAGGTGCACTACCTAAACTACCTTTGCCCATGTAAAAAATCGTGTAAGCTCAGCAGAGAAGGTAGCTTCTCAGCTCCTTCCCCATATAGCTGCTAAAGTACACGCCAGTCTAAGACTATCTGGATCTACCGTGGCTGAGAAGGCAGCCAGCTGACGCATTTACCAGACGGCTCCGGCGGCCCCCCCGCCCCTCCTGCCTCCGGTCTCTCTGACTCGGTCTAGACACCGGACCCAGATGGGGTAGGAGGGAAGAAAGAGCGCGGTACACGCAGCATAAATCTACCCTCACTATAATCTAACCTAATTCACGCGCTGGTCGCCGTTCCTGTGCCGCCCTGCAGTGGTGTATACGGCACTTGGAGCTAGGGACCCGGGAGAAGTTAATAACTGAGAAGAAGACGACTCTTTCGCAGCAGCTAGGCAGTGACAACTACCAGAAATGATGAGGCGCATTATTATCCTATGAGGTAGGCCGAGCCGTGGCCTGCATATGACTTTGTTTACAATGAGTTGCACTAACGAGGCATAAACCATGTCCTGCCCTTCCACGCTCAGACGGCCAGACAAAGTCTAGACAACCGAAGGAGGTTGGTGTGGACGTACTGGCACAGACAAACAGCCTGCGTACACGTGCCTTACAAGATCTGCATCGAAATGCAACCGTTGTAGTGAGGGGGCATATTGGAAGTCATGTTAGGCAACGTGCCATAAAGTCCACATTAAGAATACGCCGCAGAGGCCACCGAGTTTCTCACAAATGGAAGTATTCTGAATTGTCAAATTTCCCTTTCGAAGGTGGACCTGGCAGATGGATGCATTTTTTAAGAAGGCCTGTTTAGACAGTTTACTGTATCGGAATTAGGATATTCTAAGTTCGATGGATAAAAGTCTGGATACCGTACCTCAGGCGGTTAGATAATTGCTTTTCCTTTCATGTCGTCGGTTTGTATGCCACCAAGAGAGCTAATTCATACACAAGTCATCTTCGCTGTGACACCACCTTGCAGTGGTTCACATGGTGGAGGTAATCGGATACGACCGTGCCACAATGAACCAAAGTCCCACTTGTTCGTCACATGCCAGACCAGGTCGCGTTTTTCACCCACCCTCACGGCGGCCAAGGCCTGCTACACCAATCTCCCTACGGTGGATCTATCTCCCCTCCTTTCCATCTGTGTTTTTAATGACGGAGCAGCCCCTCCCGAACATGCTGCTTCGACTCCTCCTCCTCCTCCTCCTCGCCGCCGGGATTGAGGCCACAACAAGGGCTACTAACCAGCCAGCCGAGAGGACTTTGTGTGTGTGCAATCATAGGACTTGGCCCTCCTAAAACGTCTCAGTTTTCCACAATACCGTCACGCGTTCGGTAATTCGCGTCCCAGGCAGTCTTACAGTTTTTCTGATAAACGACTCCAACCACTTTTTGCCGTGGCAGTGGTTCTTTCGGTCTCATTATCTGATGCCCTAGTGTTTCCCCCGGGGTCTGCGTGCGACTCAAACTCCAAAATATACCCCTTATACGCTTTCTTCTGTTCTGTTGCTGCTTTTATGTCCGGAGACAGACTCTAGCACAGGCTAAGCAGCTCAGACAAATAGACAAACGGTTCCAGTACGTCCACAGCCTTTTTTCTTTTCTCATGCACACAGAATGCTCGCATTTAGCTAATTAGTCTCGTTTCCATTTGTTTTTTTGTCTGGTATAATCCTTTCAATAATGCATATCATGATGACGTCACTTCTAATACAAGTGAACATACGAGTCCCCGGAAGTAATTGAAAAGTAGAAGACGACTCGGTCGCTAGGACAATATGTTTACCCGCCTGACGTTTCCAAATCCGTCGCGGGTTCATCATCAGAGACATACTCACATAACTGTTTTTCTGCTACTGTTCTGTGAGTATGTCTCTGATGATGAATGCGCGAGGGATTTCGAA